TTTGTTTTAAGGCTGGCAATACTGGAGCTTCTGCCTAGGCAAACACATATGCCTATTGAGTTAAATAGGGCTGTCTGCAAGTGCAGAGGTGTCAAGGCCGGCTCTACCATTTTTGCCGCCCCAACGCAAAAAAAAAAAAAAGAGCCGCCCAGACTGTGCCGCCCCAAGAATGGACAGAATGCCACCCCTTAGCATGTGCCGCTCCAGGCACATGCTTCCTCCGCTGGAGCCCGACCTGAGGGGTGTACCTAAACTTCTTGGAGGACCAGGGCCTAAATATGAGTAGTTCAAAAATGCAAATTATTTATCTGATCGCAACACCTGTATATTTTGAATGCCACACTGGCTTTCACTATCTTAGATAACATAGAAAATACTCTGAAAGAGACTGTCCACTTGTGGGGTACCATTAAATGCTTTGTAAATGTGATTTATAAGAGGAATGTGGAGGGCATTATTTTAGTTTTCTTTGCCATGTGTTTCATATTTTTTTTTTATTTGAATTTTGTTCCACTTTTGAATACATTTGTCACAAATACGTTCCTTTAAATGAGAGAGACAGAACAGTAGCCTTTTGTGCATCTAAGGAAATATTAACAGTCACAAATACCTATGACTTAAAAACTAGGTTTGTCCCTTCTATTGGATCTACATTTAACTGGACGTGTTTTTTGGGGACTGATGTGTCACAAAGTCCCTCTAAAAATAAATAATGAAAAAATGGGGGGAAACTCAACCTCACATCGTTTTTTTTTTAACTCTTAACACATGTCAATGTCTCTTTTATTGCATAGATTTTGAGGCACTGTAGTCTTTTAAAATGAGTTTGTTTCAGTACAAAACTGGATGATGCATGTTTGTGAAATATTAAACATACACTTGTTCTTTCAGCAATTGTAACTATATCATGTGCTCATGATAGTTCATTCCCCCACCTCTCTAGAACTAAAATGCAAATACATCTGGTGTTTGTTGGCTTTGGGCAAAAATATCTGGACTTGGTGGCTTGTTTCATTGTGATTAAGCTTGTTAGGATTTTATGTTTTTAGTATCTGTCTTACAACATTTTCATTACTATGTATTTTATTAAGATTCAAGTGGCTTTATTTTTATAGTGGCATCTGGTCTGTGTAAATCCTACTCAGGTTTAAAAAACTACTTGTCTCAATACCAGACACAAGGGAATTGTGAAGTAGAGGGATGCTTCATGCATGGATGAAGCATCGTAGCACCCCTTTTGTCTAAAATCTGGAAAAGGGTGTTTGTTTGTACATTCATGATATAACCATGTGGGCATACAGATCTCTTCTTTTCTACCTCAGCTTGACTTTTCCAGATTTGAAAACTTTTTCAGTGTTTTTATCTTGAAAACAGGAACAAGTGATTTAAATATCCTCTGAATAAGCATTAGGTTAGATTAATATATATTTTAATACAAATACCAGGCAAAGGATGAAATCCTGGCCTTATTGAAGCCAAATGGGAATTTTGCCATTGACTTCACTGGAGCCAGGATTTCACCCTGAGAGCTTTGTTAACGTGACTTCACCAAACTCATTCTGAATCTTGGGTTTTATTTTCCAAAAAGGTATTATGGTCCTAATTTTTTATTATCAAAATGAGTTCCTCGTTTCTTTGAAGTTTTGCAGTGTGTATACTGTGGGAACCTACCTCACAAATGCTACTTATCTGATCCATATAAAAAAAATTAGAATGCTCCATTTTATTTGGTTGCTGAATCTGGAGTTCTTTCTCTGTTTGCTGTATTTCTAAAAAAAAATCAATTTAAAAACATGTAAATAATAATAATGGTGGGTGCACAGACTAACCAGGGCTTCCTAACTGAGATTGTAAATCCATTCAAAACACTGCTCTGCCAATCTTCTTCTTTTCTCTGTTATGTCACTTCTCTTTTTGACAACAGACATGAGCTTCTTGGGTAGGCTTTTCAAAAGGGTCTAAAGCAGTTAAGGCATTTTAAAATGTATTTAGGTCTCTAACTTCCATTGATTTCAATGGGACTTAAAATGCCTAAATACTTTTAAACATCTGGCCCAGAGTGCACAATCCCCACTGATGCTCAAGTACTTTTGGAAGTTCCACCCATACCCCTTACCCTTAAGGCGCTTCACAACTTGGCCCCACCCTCGCTATCTGATGTCTTAATTTATCACATTATCAACCTTTGCCATTCCCTCCCTGAAAAAAAATTGTACAGCCATTTATTGTCCCCTTTAAAATCTTTGTTAAAGCTCACATCTGCCATGATGCCTACAGAACATGGTAATTGATAAGAATTTAGCAGGTGGCAAATTGCGTTGTGTTCACAACTAGTTTACATGGAAACATGCTCATAATATCCCTAATCTTGCAAACCATTATGCACAAGCTTTATTTTGAGCACATGAGTTGTCTCATTGACTTCAATGGCTATTTGCATGTTTAAACATCAGGGGGTAGCCGTGTTAGTCTGTATGCACAAAAACAACGTGGAGTCTGGTGGCACCTTAAAGACTAACAGACTTATTTGGGCATAAGCTTTCGTGGGTAAAAAACCATATGTTTAAACATATGAGTGTTGGCAGAACGATGTTGAATACTCTTACCTCGCTTCCCCTGTCCCCAAACCTTACCAGTTTCCTCATTTGTTTCATCCAACTTTTGCATTTTATCATTAATTTAGATTATTAGCTTTGTCAGGTAGCCAGGCAGGGACTGTCTCTTTACTACAGCAGTTAGCACAGTGGGCTTCTTGGGGCCTTTAGACAACAATGTGATATAGACAGTAAATAATAATAATAAAGTGAAAACTGGCTTCCACTATTGATCTATGTTTTGTTATTGGCTCAGCTCTGTTGCTCCATGCTGCACTTGAAGTGCACATGTATACTTGGGTTCCCCAAAGTGCAGTCTGGGTTCAGTTATAATTCGGTGGCATTCACAAAGAAACCGAAGTTGGAGGCTCCAGCAGTTTTCCATTTCTACTTTTGATTGAACTCTCTGGTTAGTCTATGTACTCCGGATTTGTAGGTACAGATGGACAGAAATAGTGAAATTTGCTTAAGTGCAGATGGCTCATGCCCTATGACTGACTTAAGCCTCATCTGGATTCTTAGGGGCAAATTCTGCTACTTTTACTGGGGATGCAGAAATGCATTCTTGCTGCAGAACTGGCCTGCTTCTGCTGTGTATTATGGAGTTGGAGGAAGTGGGGAGTGATAGAATTTGGGGAAACCACATAAAGAGTTTTGGAGTAAAGCCTCATGGATGCTCCCTTTGTGTCGAAGAATTGTCAGGACTAGAAGACGTGCCGATTTATGCATCTTTTTGGTTCTTGCATCATGGGAGGGGAGTACGTGGGTTGCAGAGATTACCACAGTAGTTGCGTTGGAGAAGCTGGGAGGATTCTTCTTCCCCCATTTTCCTATGGCAGAGTTCCCCAGTTTTCAGCCAGGTTAGTAGGCCAAGAGAAAGGTTTTGTCTCCAGTGTTTTAAATAAATTGCTTTTTGTGCATTATTACCCCAGTATGACGTTCACAGTGATAAACACTGAGGTTTGCTACCATGAGACCCTGCAGCTAGAGATCGGAATTTCCTTTATAACTTTTGTGGTTTATATTTTGATGCTGCAAGACAAATCTGAGTAACTGAACACACTTTTTCACACTCCTTGCAGAGCTGTTGTAGCCTTTCTTACAGCAGCACTACATATATGGATCTTTCAGTCAGTTATATTACAGTGTATCATGCCGTGTTAAGGTTTGGAACGATCCTCTCTAATATAACCATTCAAAAGTTTGTGTGAAATTAATATAAACCTTCTTAAAGATTAAAAAAAAAATCTACAGTGAAGGCAACTTTATTGTGGTATTTCTTATCTCTATTTTGTTGTAATTTCTTTGTAATCAGAGTGGCATTTCCTATTGTTAATGTGCTATAGTGACACAGTAATAAACTTCCTTAAAGTAAAATGCTGTCAGAGGTAACTTTTCAGTGACATTTTTCTTTATTTCTTTTGTATGAAAGTCTCTCTGTTATTTTTAAATAGAAATGCTATGAATAACTTTGATTACTTAGGTCATCACCCATCATTTGTATGGCTCATGGCTTACATAGTGTACAAGTATTATAATTTTAACAATTTAAATAATCACAACAGACATGCAATATTTTGTCATGACTACATTCTTAAGATAGGCAGTTAATTAAAAGCTAGTTAGTAACAACTTATTTCCTATTTGATTTACTAAAAAACAACAACAATGAACTTTACTGTTGTGGAATGACTTTATCTTCCATTTTCATAAAATTAATAAGAGCAGTGAAATATTATTATAAAATGAACTAAACCTCATGGGAAACTGATTGTATATAAGCCTCATGATAAAATGTGTGCTTTTGAAAAGCTCAAACAAAAGTCTCAGTAAGTTGAATTAGTGCTTTAAAAAACCCTTGATTCAAATGATCTGAAAAAGCAATTCATTTTAATATGGTAAAAATTATAATTACTAAATGCTATTTTTATATACAAAATTTTTAGAGGCATGCTTTTTCAGAGCCAAGAAAAGTCATGTTGACCTCTGGATACAGTCTGTTGATGATCAAAATATTTGACCTGGAAGTGTAACAGTACCTGATTGGTTGGCCATAGAACACGGAAAATGAAGTTCATACTGTATGATACGTGAGCAGTACAACAGGGAAGACTGTCTGTTTTGTAGAATAGAACAACTGCCAGCAGATGGCAGCAGAATGGAAAAGTAGGCACATAAAATAAGACAGTGGACAAAAGAATTCAGATTTCTAACAGCCTAGTTTCACTAGCTGTTTTTGACTATGCAAGGTAAGTTAGGGTTTAACTGAAAAGGGAAAATGTTCTGGGCATGCTAACTTTTCATATTCAGTCCATACCATATATCCTTGAACTCCAAAGAACTGAACTGTATCCCTGTGAATACAAGATTTCTGATAAGACTTTTAACAAAAGGTTAATTTCTGAATATGTTTTCACTACTCTTTCCCCATAAAACTTCTGACCTTTCACTGCTCATATAATGTGCAGAAGTGTTAATTTTGATTCCCTAAAGAAAGATCATTATACTGAAGAAACTATCCCGAACTTTTTAAAAATGGGGTTATAAACTTAACTCCAGCTTGAAAATTTTTTTTTAATGTCCTTAGACTGCTTTTGTAAGTATATACTTGAAGCAGAATGGCAATTAACCCTCCAGATTTGTTAGCTGCAAATAACTGTATATGCTGTGAATGTGGAACCCCAAAAGAGGAACAAAGAAGAGTGAATTAGATTAATTTCACTCCTCATCTGAAATCTACTTGAGTAACGTGCACTTTTGGAATAGTGCACAATACTGGTCCCTTTTATGTTGTGCTGTACTAGGAGTTTTTAAAAAGTTGAAGAATTGCAATCAGTATTTGCCTTTTTTGTTTAAATGTGCATGTATTTGTACAAACTCAGCTATTCAGATTGCATTTGTAATTTATGGTATAGTGTGTGAGTCATCCTTTCATGCATTCCAAACTAAAGATTTAATTTTTTTTAAAACAGGATTGAGGCATAGAAGAAAATTTCCACATGACGCTCCAGTCCTTCACCCGCAGCTAAAATATGAAAGGTAGGGAAGATATTTTGTTACTCCTAATTGTTCCTTGTGAACACAATCCTTTTTCTAGGAACAAGGGACATGTACCTAAAATTAAAGAATCTCTTACAAGGTAAACAAATGGATTTGGATTTTTTTTTCAATCTTCTAAGTCTGCATTGTGGTGATTTTCCATGGTGATTTGTGTAAAGAACACATAAGTAAAGGAAATGTATGTATTAGTTAACTATAACATGGTCATCTTTCAAAATGTAGTTCAGAATAGGGTCCTATTGAATTGAATAGTCTGAGAGTTTTATTGTAAATGGGATTTTAGAAATTTAGTAAAATGTATTTGTGGGGGAGGGATATAGATACCAAGTCCTCTGTTCTACTTAGTGCATACAGAAGATGAACACAAAATCTTAACTCTTGTATTGTGTCACTACGATTTGATTGTGATGGTGCAGCTTTTATAGCTTCTTCTATACACTGTCTTTTCTAAAGTTTTTCAAATTCCACACAAATAATTTTTGGCAGTTTTAGTGACACAGAACATATTTTTTCCATAACTTTATTCTATTCTAAAAGCATGCTGTAGAGTTGCTTTATTTTAATTGACCCTAAAGTCAGTTTAAACAAGTTGTTATCCTACACTGCTTCATAAAGATTTCTGTTGTTTAAAGTACTTAAAAGAGGGAACATTGCTTGGTAATCAAAAACAGAATTTGCAATTGGACTGCTGTCTTAGATGTGGATAGTGAAACAATGAGGGCCTGCTCGTTCAATAGTACGTATGCAGTGCACAGTGAATATCAGGCTGCAGTCTGCTTGCCACGCTGCAGATGAACTGCAAAAATATACTTACCGTTAACCATGTGGCATTTGCACATATTCAGATTTCTTTCCCTTTAGTGTTTTTCTAGTGATAATTTGAAATACTGCATATTAATATATTAGTCATGTGAACCTGGCACTTTTTAAATCTAGAAGCAGAGAAGCAAGTAGCGGAAGTTAAGAAATTCCATTGACCCAGTTAAATATAATTACAGAGGTTAGAATTGGGGCCAGGATGTTTGAGTTCTACATGTAATGTTTCACTGCTCGGCCTCTTTTAAATGGCATTACCTCATCTTGAATTCATTCAGGAAAGGAGTTGCAAATCCCACAAGAACAGATCTGAGTTATCCAAGGTCATTGTATGAACAGGACATGAACAAGTGCTTTTTACATTTTCAATTACAAAAATATGCCTTTTCTCATATGATGTAATATTTTATTCCTTAATTTCACATATTAATTTGATTTGGGTGCAAAAATGTCAGGCTTGATTACTTTTTTGGGTTGTCTTTCCTGTATATATTTGATATGTCAGGTGCAAGTAAGTCTGTTCTGGGGCTTGGGGAGGGGGGAAAGAGCAAATATGCTGAGGTGCTTTGTAAAATAATGGCTTTATGTGAGCAAATGACATCAATTGGAACAAATTACATACTGCTTCCAGTGATGTAATCCAGAAAGTTTGAATTGCTTTTAAAGCTCTCAGTCTGAATGAATTCTTTTTCTTTGTGGTCTTCATCAGTAATCAGGTTTTTAAGACTTGCTACAGATAGCGAGCAGGTAGGAGAATTAAACACATTTTATAAAAATGTTAGCAATTCGGAAATATTTTGGATTTGTGAAATATTTTTCATTTGTTTATTTTGGGGTAGGGGTTGAATGTTTTTGAAATGCTTATTAGTAGAGACTACAAGTCAGGTATGGCTTTGGACAATTTAAGATAGCTTTTTATAAATCTTAGTAATTGTGATGCACAAATATAAATATTAATGTAACATCAGAAGACCATGAAATAGCATGATTTGTATACAAATACAGGCGAATGTACATACTGGGATTTTTTTTTAATTACATGCAACAGGTGGTAATTAAACATGAAATGAAAAGCAAGTACAAAAAAAGAACAAAGTTAGAACTTCTGAGTCAGATATATATTTTTCACAGAATAATCTAAGATGTTGATTACTACCTTTAACATTGTGATACAAGAAGTCATATTATTGTAGGATTAATAGTACAGTGACTTTTAACATTATTCAACAATTTTCTGATGTTATAGTGTACTCTTTACTTTGTATTTTGTAATTTAATATTTCAAAAGATGCATCTACAGCCTAGACAATGTATCAGTCCTAAATTGCTGCCACAGTATGTGATCTAAGTTGTAGTTGTACAATAGTAACCTCTTTACACAAAAGACTGTAGAATGCCACTTTTAAAATCTTGATGTAGGGGCCGTATATAGATTGGTATTATCAAACTTTTAAATTAGATTTGTGAAGGCTGTTTATAGAGGACCAGATTATTTTACCTTTATTCACTTTTTGTGTGGCACTTCACGCCATGAGGAGTCCCATTGACTTTGGAGGAACATTTTGTGCAATTAGTTCAACATGAGTGAGGGTATCAGAACCCAGCCCAAAGAAAATATTCATAGCTTCAGAAGACAATAGGCATTTTTGAAAAGTTCAGAAATGAAAAGCTATCACAATTCTATTGCTATTTAATCTTAATTAGTATGGTAGGATTTCTGATATTGTGTGCCATGTAACTTTTGAGGGCTCAATTAGTTTGTTATGGTTTTTTTTCTGTAATAGTCATTGGTAGCTTTTTTTAAAAAAAATTAGAAAATGGGAAATTGCAAACTTTTTTTTTCTGCACACCTGTTTGCTGAAAGCACAAAGACTTGTGAAATGTGTTTTATAGCTGTCCCATGACTCATATACTTTTACTGAATATTGTCAGTAGCCTCATACTCTCTTAAATGCCCTTAAATTAAATTTTCATTATTTTCAGTAAGAATAGCATGGGTTTGTTTCAATTTTTTGTGGCTTAATTTTTTTCTGTTTAATAACGCAAGTTTGAAAAGCTTTTGTTTAAAGTAAAGACATGAATTGCATTACTAGTTTTATAGTTACTGGTGTTAAGAAGTACTCTTTCTGGAATTATTCAAACAGATAATTCTGGGGATGTTTTTCATCACTATTTGTCTCAAAGATGTTTCTCTCAAGCAATTTTTTCCAAGCTCTTAAAAAAAGCCTTTCAGTTATTTTCATTTTCCAAATATTTGGACATCTGTAGAAATGCAAAAGTAGAAGGCTGATTGGTTAAACATTTTATATAATTTAATTTAGCTGGTCAGTAAAATACTTTTAGTAGCACAGGAGTTAAGGCAATCTAATAGCAGGCAAACTATAGGAAAACTGTTACATACCTCTTACTAGGAACAAGAGCCTCCATTTACCCTGTAGAGGAATAAGCACAGGGAGAAACAAAAGAACATCATCTTTAAAAGAAAAAAATGTCTAAGGGTTGGATACTGCAGCTGAATCTGTGCCAGCAGATCACACTGTCCACATGGATCCAGTTGCAGGCTTCAACCCTAATTTCTCACTGTAATCATGGGAGTCAACTGCTTATGTGGTGAGATTGTCTGGAATGTGACAGTAAAAAGGTAACAGTTTAAATGTCTGACTGAACTGAAACTCTGTGTATATGTGTATATACATCCACGTATGTAAATAAAATTACATAGGTGATAAATTGCACCTTTGGCTGCATTATCTGCCCATTAGTGCATCTTAAAACTTATTCTAACATTTCAACTTCAAGAAACCCTGCCACAGAAATGTTTCCTCCTCCTTCACCCGAATCTGGAATTTCCTCCACCAAATAACACCTGGCCAAGTCCCATGGTGGTTGAGATTCATTCGTAGACCAGTGACCGTTTGTTGTGTGTGTATATATATATATATCAGTTTTAAAGTCTGAGATATTGCTGCCTTTTATTGCTAGAAATGGGAGCTTTATACCATTGGGAAGAGAAGCTTCTCAGCTTCCCTATGGAACTCCGTGACAGCTTCTAGCCTAGCAGGGTTCCAAGGCATTAAATTTTAAATGTGTGACATTTTCCAACATGGAATAGAAATTTTTTATTGCTCTGTTGGTAATGTTTTTCATTTCTTAATTTTAACATTTTCTTCCCTCTGAGCCATGCACGATCAGATTCACTGGGCAAAATTCATTGCTGACATGCAAGTAAAGAATGGGGCCTATGGTAGCTAACATACCTTGCTTTACAAACTAAATGATACAAAAAATAAACCCAGTAAATTAACTTTAAAAAAATTCTTCAAACACAATGGGCACATTATAAAAGTTGTGTGTCTGCATCAGTTTCTATTACACTATTAGCTCTGTAAAATTATCCTTGCGCAATTGGTGGTATCAATGAAAGAAATGTGCCTGTCAATCAATTATATGCTATTCCACTAGTATGCTATTCCAAGGTTGCAGCACTATTCCTGTTTTATGCGTATTCTCCATCAAACTGAACATGTGCCTGTAGATTAGCACATCCAAAGGACCCAAACATTTTCACCATTCAATATTACGTTGTTTTCTGTTCTGCCCCAATATGTTGCTCTGCTTTTTTCCTTTTGTGGGGTTTGTTTGGGGGGAGTGGTGCATGAAGGAGGTTAGTTACTGTTATTCCTTAACACAGGACATCTAGTTGCTGCCTGACTTTCATGGGGTTTCATAGTTGCTAATTATATCTAGTTATAAATGATATTTTAAAGTGTATTAATTATACATGCAGGACACTTTTATTGTTGACAAAAGTCGAATGTCCCTTGGGTTTCCCTGAGTTATGCATATCCAGCGACTGTTCCTCTTTGGAGTGGAATGCTCATGGAACAACCCAATACATGCTTCTGGTCTTTGGAGACACCCTGTCTGGCTGTTTTTTGTCTCCTATTACTCCATTTCGAACAGTGCTCTCCTACTTTGCCCAGATCCCTCCCCCATCCCAAGTCACATTTGTTTTTCTGCATCCTCCAACTTTCATTCAAATGTATTCAGCTACTTTGGCAACACTCTCCCAAGCCTTCTTCCATCTCTTAAGAATATAAGAACAGACATACTGGTTCAGACCAAATATATCTAGCCCAGTATCCTGTCTTCCGACAGTGGCCAATGCCAGGTGCCCCAGAGGGAAAGAACAGAACAGGTAATCATCAAGTGATCTATTCCCTGTTGCCCATTCCCAGCTTCTGGCAAACAGAGGATAGGGACACCATCCCTGTCCATCCTGGCAACTAGATGTCCTGTGTTAAGGAATAACAGTAACTAACCTCCTTCATGCACCACTCCCCCCAAACAAACCCCACAAAAGGACCCATCCTCCAGGAATTTATCTAGGTTTTTTTGTTTTGTTTTTTTGAGCCCTGTTATAGTCTTGGCCTTCACAACATCTTCTGGCAAGGAGTTCCACAGGCTGACTGTGCATTGTGTGAAGAAATACTTCCTTTTGTTTGTTTTAAACCCGATGCCTATTCATTTCATTTGGTGACCCCTATTTCTTGTGTTATGAGAAGGAGTAAATAACACTTCCTTATTTATTTTCTCCACACCAGTCATGATTTTATAGACCTCTATCATATCCCCCTTTAGTCATCTATTTTCCAAGCTGAAAAGTCCCAGTCCTCTTAAACCAATTCTAATATATCTTTTTTGAGATGGGACGACCACATCTGCATGCAGTATTCAAGATGTGGGCGTACCATGGATTTATATAGAGGCAATATGATATTTTCTGTATTATCATCTATCCCTTTCTTAATGATTCCCAACATTCTGTTCGCTTATTTGACTGCCGCCTCACATTGAGTGGATGTTTTCAAAGAACTATCCACAGTGACTCCAAGATCTCTTTCTTGAGTGGTAACAGCTAATTTAGACCCCAGTATTTTATATGTATAGATGGGATTATGTTTTACAATGTGCATTACTTTGCATTTATCGATACTGAATTTTATCTGCCATCTTTGTTGCCCAGTCATCCAGTTTTGAGAGATATTTTTGTAGCTCTTTGCAGTCTGCCTGGGATTTAACTATCTTGAGTAGTTTTGTATCATTTGCAAATTTTACCACTTCATTATTTACCCCTTTTTCCAGATCATTTGTGAATATGTTGAATGGGACTGGTCCCAGCACAGACACCACTATTTACCTCTCTCCATTCTGAAAACTGACCATTTATTCCTACCTTTCATTTCCTATCTTTTAACCAGTTTACCAGTCCATGAGAGGACTTTCCCTCTTATTCCATGACAGCTTACTTTGCTTAAGAGCCTTTGGTGAGGGACCTTGTCAAAGGCTTTCTGAAAACTATGTACACTATATCCACTGGATTCTCCCTTGTTCACATGCTTGTTGACCCCCTTAAAGAATTCTAGTAGATTGGTGAAGCATGATTTCCCTTTATAAAAACCATGTCGACTCTTCTCCAGGGGCCTGGCTGTGATACCATTCCAGTGTAGTTATCACCCTTGGCTTGGTCATCAGCTGACCCCTGCTCGCCACAGCCACCCAAGAAGAAATCCTCTCTTTCCCGCTCAGACGGGAATAAGCAGGCCACTACATCGCCATCCAAGGAGCCATCCCCTGTGAGGTCAGTAGCGTCAACCTCATTGTTGACTGGGTCCCTCCGGTACTTTTTTTTTCTCCTTCTTTGTTCTTTCAACCAACCAGACAACAGGTTAGCATACTCTTTGGTTTGTTGCAAGAAATTACAATTCTTCATCGAGTGGTGTCCCTCTGTGCGCTTCTCTGTAGATGTGGCAGTGCCTCCTGTGCCTCAGATTGGAGATCTTCAGAAGTAGTGCCCATTGGGCCGCACATGCGCTCTTCCCCATCTTGCACGGTGAGCACTATCTATATAGCGCTGTGCAGCCCAACTGCCCTCAGTTCCCTTTCAACTGCCATTGGTATGGAATGGAATACAGAGCAGAGCCCTTCTACCTCCTTCTCCTTTAGAGATTTTCATTACTTTACCTTTCACTAGTAGTAATTAGCCCTTTCCATTTATTTTTCTCCCTTACAAAAGATTTTTTTAGTTACTTTTTCCTCCCTATTATTCCCTGTTTCTCGCCTTTCCCAATGGGGAGCGCTCTCCCTCAGGATACCCTGATTCAAGAGGTGCCTCTCTTGTCAGGAGGCCTTTCCCGAGAGTGACGTCACTCATGGTGCATCCACTGCCTCATTGAGGGTCATGTTGCACAGAAGTGCACCCACTTCATCACCTTGATCACACGGGCCTGAAAGGACCATGATCTCAGACTGAAAATTCTTTTCATGGAGAGTTCTCTATGGCCAGATTCAGGCCCTGGCCTTGATACCACTACAGTGCAGTGATTACCCTCAGCTCGGTCATCAGCTGAGCCCCACTCGTCATCCAAGAAGAAATCCTCTTTCCCGCTCAGATGGGAAGAAATGGACCACTACATCGCCACCCAGGGAGCCATCTCCTGCAAGGTCAGTAGCCTCAACTTCATTGGGATGAGACTTAGCTCCCATGACTGTTTGGTCCCTCCGATACTGGAGCTAAGCAGAAGTTCAGGGACCCTAAATAGGCAGGACCACAGGTGGACACACTGTCTCTTGGGACCGAGAAGCACAGCGCAAAGCTACAATAACAGTACCTAGTGCCTCATCCAAGACAACCTTGGGTTCTTTGACACTGTCAACTCTCTCTGCACCATCAACTCTCTTGGCACTGACCAAATCCTTGGCACTGAATAAGGCACTTGAGGGAAAAGACTCCACCCTCGGCACCGATAGTTCCTGCCTACTTCACCGGAGTTCAGAGATCCAAGGGACCTGTCATCTCTGTTACCCCTGAATCTCTGCTTCTCTGTCACAAGCTCCCTATAGTTCATGCCTCTTCCCTGGAATCACAACATTTCTCTCTTTCACCACTGAGAGGAGGAAGAATACGGAATTCCAGATCACATGCAGGCAATCCTCTACTCTTATTATTATCATCTAAGCAGTGTTCCAATACAGCAAAACATAGAAAGATAACTCCCCCTTGACTTCCCTGCAAAGACAGTGGTTCAGGAGGGGCTCTTTTGCCAAATGACCTAAAAAGTTGATGTTGAACAACGATACCTCAGTTCTAGTAACGGAAGAATGATACACATTTTTTTTCCAGTCTGCTAAAGTTTATGCTGCTCTCCTGCCTCAGTCTTTCTAGTACGGGTGTAATCAATGATCTCATTTACACTTGAAGCGTCCAAAGGAGGGATCAGCTAGTTTTATTAATGTACATCATGTCCTCATCCTTCAGTGCCCTCAGTGATGTAATAGAATTACTGGTGGAATGCAATCTAATGCCACTCGTTGACTTGGATAGCATGAATGTCTGTGCTGAATACATGTGGTTGCATTGGGATACCCCTGTGGAAATCTTCTGCAGTGTGGTCTGCATTTCATCAAGGGACTTGGATGTTACGCTTATGTCAGCGGTGACACTTGTACTCTAGCCTCTGTGTTTTCCTTTGCTTTCTGGAGATCATAGTTCTGTTTCCTGAGCCATCTAATCTCTCTGATAATGTTATTGGCTTTGGGGATTTTGGTTTGATGGACTGTAGCTTTCTGTCGTCATTGCCAGGCTTAATAACTGAACAATTGATGGATGACAACACTGTTATTTAACAACAGCCTTTGTGCTGGCGAACAAACTAGGATTGACACTGGTTAATAGTTTTGTATGATTTTTGACCTAATACACCACATACAGTGAACATGTTTCATTCTGGTCCTAGCATCATATTTGAATGTACTTTCTCATAATAGATCACTAGCAACAGATACGTGAATGAAATCCCATGTAAGATCCATAATGAAGCAGCATATTACATGTACCGTTTTTACAGGGATAGTGAATTGAAAATTCTTTCAACAGAAAATCATCCAGGATGCATTCGTGCCCCACCTTTAAGGGTATTTGGCCCTTACAGATTATTCCGAGGTAGAACATTGTTTTTACTGTAGTGCAGCTATTTAATATCAAAAGCATGTCGGAGTCACTAGTTATATCCTCTGTTTTGTTTTTCTGTTCAGATGATGACTTGAAGCACATAGCTATTCCTACTGCCTGTATTTAGGTTCAGTAAATAAACTGGATTTGGACTTCACCTCTGTGAGTACCGCGTCTGCCATCAGATACTTTGCACTACTTCCATAACTTTTTTATCATAGCACAGTCCTGTGCCGTTGCTATGGTGCTTATCAAATCTAAATTATCAATGCATTTTTTCAGAATGTCTGATATGAATTGCATCAAGCTAGCATGGCATCAGATGAAAAATAATATCAGGATAGTTGCCAAATCAAGCAAGAAACCAAAGAGGCGATGCCGATCCTAGCCATTCATCACTTTGGGGAAAAAATGTTGACGGTTGAAGAGTGTAACCGATCTATAAAACAACTTTGCAGAGTCCTTCCATGGATTTTTGAATGAAAGAGGTGTTCTAAAAGGATGTAATTTTACACTGTGTGTGTGTGTGTGTACATTCTAATAAAGTGTTTGCCTTGCTTTGGCTAAACTCATCTGTATGTACTTTCTCCTTGCAATCAGTTTACAGTAAAGGGATCCCTGGGAGGCTTTGGTCTATGCAGTTTCAGTTCTCAGATCATTAGCAGTCTGCACTCAGAGATTCTCAGTACATACTAAGTCAGTTGTATTAGCTTTCAAAAACCTGGATTCTCTTCTCAGTTAAGAAACTAATAGAATATTTCAAAAATTCTTTTAATCTTTTGAGCAGATATGTTTATGGGCATACCCAGACAGCACTACCACGAGAAAGGAGGTAGGGTGAACAAACATGGCAAGAAGTTGTATTGGTCTCTTTTGGCTTTTTCTCCAAATACTCAGCTGCAACCATTATCACGTCAGTTGGTGTATAAAGCAGATATTGGAAATTGAAAGAGTGCAAATGTATGGGAAAATAATGGCGTGCATGCTAATAATTACAGGAACCACAAAAGCTCATAAGTATAAATATCAATGACCATAGAAAATGGTCATAGCATCCAGTTCACCGCATATAAAGGAACTGAATGAAAACATTAACACAAACTTTAATATTGTATTGTCATTAGCAACAGGCTACATGAATCTGTGATGAATGAACTCATCAAGTATAACCTTGACATTACTAGAAAGAATTGACTTTCCCCTTGAACCGCCATAATTAACATGTGAAAGCCAGTTATTCAAAATATTGGCAGGAATAATTTTTCCTAAGTAGAATAGCATAAACGTCAACCTCCCCTCATAAAATGGCTCAAAGACATGGGTGGGATTTGCTGACATCTTGCCAAGGTGGTTGCCTCAGCTCCACCGTCTTTTCATGCTTTAATGGCAACATTGCAAAATGCATACAGTTCTCCCAGGGATTGATGAAGATCCTAAGGGTCAGCACCAAGCTTTGGAAAAGAGGACAGTACAAATCTATAGAAATTATTGTACAGTAATACATAAAGTAACGTGCAGTACTACAAAATCCACTGCTTCATTAACTGCTTCATGGCAGCAGTTGTTTGGGAGCTTCTGTAGACTCTCACCACAACACTAGGATGCTGTAGTGCTGCACAGGGAGACAATTTCAGTTCCTATTGCTTGGTCAAAATATATTGGAGAAGAAAAACTGTTTTAGAATTTTTCTTTTAAAAAAAAGCAGCACTTGCATGTAAATAAAATATCCTGATCACCCAAGAAGGTGAGGTTGTTCAGCTTCCATTGCATTACTTGATCCCCAGTAGAAAATTGTTTTAAAATGCCAATGGTGGATAAGAATTCTGTTAGCTTTTTAAATAAAATATTTAAATTTTGAGATGTGCCATTTTACAAAGTCATGCCAGTTGCCTGAATGGGAAAAGATGGACAAATATGACTGCTCCCTGCCTTACCTGAACAGTTGACTTAGCTACCAAACAATAGTTCAACTACAGTATGCCTTTACAGGACAGCTAATATATTTGAGTGGATGCCTGCCAGTTAGCAATGTGAGCATTACAACCACCTCCAGTTCATGGAAAAACAGCAGAAAATTGGATTGTATCAACTTAGATGGAGGATGAAGGGCGGCCACTGACAGACATTTCCAGAAGTATTGATTTGCTCGTGAATGAATGTGAAAACATTTTGAAGTGTGCCTGCTGTAGTTTTTCTCTGAACTGTATAATATAAAGAAAATACGTGATGGAGTATAAAGATTTTATTGCTGATTTTTGATGACCTGCATGACCAATTTGAGATTTTGCCACTCATGAGTAACATGGCTATCCCAAACTCACACCAATAAAACCTTCATGCCACAGCACACCATCATATATTCTTGCTATATCATAATATAATGGATGAACACTGTCTTATTCTCTGTAGTCATTGGATGGTGTATAGTGAATGACTTGGATGACCTAAAAAGTGGTGATTCTGTGATAACAGTCTTCTATCATCTCTTCAGATTACCACTCCTTGAAAATTTGTTCAACTAAAAAAATACTCATTGTATCTTTTTGGAAAATTTGGTTCTTTGTGAAATAGAAAAACTTTTATTAAGCTTAATTTTTATTGTATTTTTTACCTTCACCTTCTGGGATATGCAGCCACCTCAACCCAGAAAGATTGTAGGAGGTGAAAAACTGTCCTGTAAAAAATGTATCCATTCAAGTCTTGTTAGCTGACATGTAGAGCCCTGCGCATATACACAATGTGTGTCCGTATTTGATCTGTGATCCGCAAACTTTTTCAGGGCTCTACTGACATGTTTTAAACCTAGTGTAGACAGGGCAAGTTGTTTTAACATGTTAGCTGTTTAAGATGAATCCTAGGTAGGGAACTTAGTGTTTACCTCAATCAGCTAACACATGTTAAAACGACAACTGTCTTGCCTACACTAGGATTTTAGCACAGCGAGGGATAGCTCAGTGGTCTGAGCATGTGCCTGCTAAACCCAGGGTTGTGAGTTCAATGCTTGACGGGGGCCACTTAGGGCTCTGGAGCAAAATCAGTACTTGGTCCTGCTAATGAAGGCAGGGGGCTGGACTTTCAGTGTCCCTTCCAGCTCTATGAGATAGGTATATCTCCATATTATATATAACATGTCAAAAATGCACTTTTTCTTAGTGTAAATATGATGTTAAAAGTGTATATAGGACCATTTATTTCCTAGACTCCTTCTCTCCAGTATTAAGGCACTGACTTATTAGAACACTAAAAAGAAGCAAACAAAAATATAAAATGTGTCCTTGTGGAAACATAAGTTCAGATTTTTTTCAGTTTAACTTGTCACTGATCTAGAGAAACAATATATGACAGTATGCGAGAGAGAAAATATCAGCAATTTAATGAGTATGTGTGCATGAAAATACTGTTGAATAATCAGTCCAGTTCCATTATAGGCAATGAGCTGTTTTCTGTTCTATTACTCTGGGGGTAAATACAGAGTAATACCATTAAGTGGAGGGTAACTGACTGCAGAAATTGGCTCAGTATTTCCTGTTCTATTTGTGCCATAGTCTTTCTACCTTGTACAAACTTTAACAACTTCTGAACATCTAACTATATGATTGTCTACTCCATACAACAAAAATTCTGGCAGGATGTATATAGTGCAACAGTTTTAAATCTGAATCTTCAGTTGAGTTCTTTTGCTTTGGCAAAGTTTTCACATTTCCAACAGGTTTGCAGAGTTATAATCCAGGAAGCAATCAACCTTTTCTTATAGGCTTTTTATAAATTTGCAGAGCAAAGTTGGGTAGGAGTTCAGTATTCCAAAGAGAGTGAGTCACTTGATTTTTTTTCTTTAAATTATGTAGAAAATATAGGTAGGTTATGAACTCTATTGTGGATTCTAACAGCAGGATTTTTGAAACATTTATGACTTTTTCCAGTAATGTTAATCTGGCTACAATGACTGTTTTTAAAATATTTTTTACTATTCTTAAATCAAACTTGTTGAAAAAAAACAGACAGTTACATATGATAACATATCATATCATAGAGCATGTGATATTGATGAAGAATAACTTTTAGAGAGTCTTTCACTCAGGAAGATCCCAAAACATTTTAAAAAGTCATAAACTTTAGATAGTTATAGTATATCATTTGTATTCTCAGTTATATTTAAATACATGATTACTTTCACCCACCACTGAAATACAGTCAATCTAGAGTAGAGTGCAGCAGTTGTTTAAGGTCACATAGCCAAACTGCACAACAATCTAGAACAGGAAGTGAAGAATACAGAATGCAACTGAAATTGCGGGGGGAAAGTTTTGCTAGATGATTATTCAGATTGGTATTTGGCGAAGATACCAAGATGACTCTCTCATACACATTGCACAGGAGAGCGTGACAGACTACAACTCTGCATTACCCAGCATAAGAATTTTCTAGACAAAAGAGCTATTGCCCAATAGTACCCTATGGGTTCTCTCCAAGAAAGAACAATAGAGCTATTCCTTTGCGCTCTCCCTGAAATAGTCTACAGACATGACAGCAATACCTCAACATTACTTCAGGCCAAACACTATGTTTTAAGAAATAATTTCCCCTGAAGTGAGTTATTTAACAGTTGACTATCACAATGTATGTTCCCAAACAAAATCTACATTAAAATGGAGTTAAATATCCTAAAAACAAGCATTGCAAACTAAGAAAATTCAAAATTGAAGTTAAACTGGAAAGAAACCAAACATGTTAAGATACGGAAATGATGGGTGAGGGCACTCAAACAGCCTCCTCTCCCTCTTGAACTTTGCTTTCCCATGGAAACACATTTCTTCCTTCTTCACCATATGTTCCCCTGCACATGTGGTCCTCAGTCTGTCACTCTTCTTTGCTCCCTGCTTGCCTGTGCACATGTTCCTCAGTATCCCTTCTGTTTGCACCCCCAAATTGCTCTGCATGCACAAAACACACCCAAATTTTCTCCATCCTTCTCCATCCCACATTCTCCTGCATGTGCACATGTTTAGTTTCCCCTGACTGCTGGGTAGATCTGATTCACTGGGTAACTCTTTTTTTTGGAGGGGGAGGAGAATTAGGATTAATGATCATTTTTGTCATTGTTTTTCATAACAAGAAATTTATCTGTCAGCAAAGGCTGGTGCATTTTCAGAGAAACTTATATAGAATTGCTTTCTTTCTAAATGTTTGCCATCCTCTGTTGTCCTCACTGGCAAGGAGATGTTTGCTTTCAAAAGAGCCACTGTGTCTCATTGTTCTCAATGGGAGTGAATCCAAGCTACCCTCAGGGTAGCAAATAGCTCCCAGTGCTATCAGGTGGTGGTGTGGAACACTGTGAGGAGCAAGTGAATGGAGGCAGGGGCCATCCTTGCTAAGGAGACCCTCTGTCCTGAGTCCCATTGTGAAAAATGGAGATGGGGTGCCCTCAATCCCCCTGGGAACCATAGGAGATGATAGCCATTTTGGAAGGAGGGCAGTTTAATAGA